CCTTAACGGCTATGCTTTGCCGGAGTCGGAGTCGGTAGCGCTGGCGCTTCTCGAGCTTGCTGTCGCCTCAGACGTCGCCGCAGCCGGGTCCGAGCCCATTGCCGAACACAGCCCCCGCTCAGTCGTCGCCAACGAAGTCCGACTCGCTGAGTAATGCAATGTTTTTTTTTGGTTTCCGGATCAGGAGCGGTTGCGGAGGTGCGTTTTTGCGCCGATTGTTGTCTCGGCCACCGCCGTAGCTGCAGAAGACTGCCCCAGCTCAGCAGCCGCCGCCGGAGTTGGCCGAGACGCGGAGCCAAGGCATGCTTTGCTCCCTTCAGCATTGGCTGCGCTGGTGCCCCCGAGCCGACAGCTGCCGCCGTTGTCGCCGCGGCTGGACTCGATCCCGCAGAGGCGGAATGCGCCGGCTCGAAGTACCGAGATGTCCAGGCGTGACCTGAGGGCGCGCGCCAGAAGCGAGACGCAGCACCCCGCGAGAGGAGGGTCTGCCTCGCCGCACTAAGGCGGGCCAGCTCTTCCGACAGGCGAAGGTGATCATGCCCGAGGGGGCCGTCGCGGGCATCCTCCGCGGCCGCGAGGGCAACTGGCTCGTGTCGCTGCCCACGCGGCCGGGGGGCGCAGCAGGCTTGTCATGCCGGTGCTGCGCTCCGGACAGGGCGCCCGCTGTTGAAGTTCATCCAGGCGAGCCGTCGGCAGGGTGCGAACGACCACCGCGCGCGCGCGGAGGCAGGCTATGGCGGCGCGTGGAACTGGCACCGGTCAAAGAGGGGTCTCTGCGCGGCCCTGAGGACTGGGGGGCCGCAAAGACGCAGACAGCCACAATTCCGATCGTCGCGGAGCGAAGCGGGGCCATGGCAGACGACCGGCGCGAGGGGCAAGTGGTGGCTGCGGTAATCCACCCCTGTCGAGATTGCAGTGGGCTTCCCGATCTCGCTTGCGCAGCGGGGCAGCTTCCCCAGTCAGCTCTCAGTGCAGAAGCGCTGGTTGTCCCGACCGCGCCCCGAACATCAACGAGCTCGAGCGATCGTTCCGCCCAGCCATGCACGCCGCGGCAGGGGCGGGCGGCGTCCCGGAGCTCTGCAAGAAGTTCGCAGGCTCTTAGGCCAAGGTGCATTGCCCTTGGTCGTGCAGTTCGCGTTTCGCGCGTCGCGCCAGCTCTTGGAAAGCTGCTGATATAGGCGCCGCCGCAAGAATAATAACATCTCAGACGCGCCAACCATGGGGGGATCACGATCGCGGCGCCGCCCGGCAAAAGCGCGCGCGCCCGGCCACCCCGTTGCCGCAGATTGTCGGGCAGGGGCAGGTCGGCGTCGCCAGACAGCGCGGCGCGCAGCGCAGTCGGGCTCTTGCAGGCCTCCGCGCAAGCCCAGGCCACCACCTCAACGTTTTTTTTCCTGGGCGCAAGTTGCGCGATCTAGTCGTCGGCGCGGGAACTCGCGCTGGAGACCAACGCGTCAGCGGAGACCAAGAAGGCCATCGCAGACCCCGCAGGGGCCCCGCAGGTAAGCAGGGCACGCGCTGAGCCGAAGGCTGGAAGGCCAGTTGCCAGGCAACGGGGTATCCAAGAGCAGCGCGCAGCGCGCTGGTTTGACCTCGAGGGCCCTCCCTGGCCACGTCCGGCTCGCGGCCAGGTCGCCCGCCCCAGGGCGGCCGCTCGCGGGCGCCGCGCACGAATTCGCGTTGGTGATCGAAGAGCGTTTGCGCCGGCGCGGTCTGGGGGCTACGTCCGGGGCGTCGACGATCCGTCGCAACCTTTGCGGGGGCGCCTGGGCAGGCGGCGGCGGATTCGCAGATGGCGGCGCCTGCGTCAACATCGGAGAAGCGCGTCCAACGTTGTCGAGGCGGTCGAGCGCGCGGGAGGAGCGGCGCTGGAAGCGTTCGCCGAGCCAGGGCCCCTGCCCGACCTTGGCGCGGGCACGTCCGAGGCCCTGGCCCCATTTGCGGGCGGCCGGGGCCAGCGGTGCCAAGCGCCGCCTCTGGCATGAAGGCCGGGGCCGCGCGCAGATAGGCGCAGTTGTGGATGGCCGCGGGGCCATGCATCCAAAGCGCCACCGTCGCGCCCAGACCACCACCAAGCAGCTGGAGAGGTTTCGCAGGAAGACGCGCTCCGACGCGGACCTGCCGTTCCAGGCGTTGGCGGCCTCCGAGGACGCCCTCAAAGTTGGCCCCGGGCGCCGCTCGGCAGGCTGCTGAGGCCCCTCGGCGGATGCCGAAGTGCCCTACTCACTCGGCGTGGCGACGTCGACGCACCGAGCAGCGACGCGCAGCTCGCCCTTGAAACGCAAGGCGGACGACGGAGAGGGGGAGCTCGACAAGTCCCTGGGCGCCGCCGCCGGCATTGCCCCATAGGGCGGGGGGCGAGGCGCGCGCGCGCCCCCGCCACTTGTTCCGCGCAGCCGGCCCACGCTGGTTCGGTGCGCTGCTGCAGTCGGGGCCGCCCGTGGCGTCTGTTGTCGCGGCTCGGCTCGCGACTGTGCCCGTGCGCCCGCGGCGCCGCAGCTGGCCCCTGCTGCGCCTGGAAGACTTCCGCTGGGCGGGCCTGTGCACGGCCGTGTTCGCGGGGCTGGAGGATTGCGCCGAGGCCTTCCGACAGCGGGGGCGAGCTATCAGCGCCTCGCACAGCGGCTGGAAGGACAGATTCGCCGACGCGCTGCAGGCGGCGGCTGGGGACTTCGACGGGCGCGCCCAGATATGGAGGCGGCGGCCCAATCGTTTTCCGCCGTGGCAAGGCCCGCCTCCTCATGCGCGGAGTCGAGGCCACTGGGTCGCTGGCCCTGCCCATGGCGCCCCGAAAGCTTCCGGCGCCAGAAGGGGCACAGGGCCCAAAATTCCGACGCGCGGAGCCGTGGCCAGCGCCGAGACGCCATGGGTGCGAGGCGCCCGCCAGTGCCAGGCTTGCGCGATGGATTTCCACCGGCCGCGTCGCCAGTTAAGGTGGCTTTTCGACCGGCGCGTCGGTCGCCATGGAAGGCAGCGCGCCATGCGCGGACGACGAGCAGCTGGACGAAAGTCGAGGAACCATTCCCGAAGGGCGGCTTCAGGAAGCGGGTCGATATCCCCCCCCCGCGACGGCAGCGGGGCCGCCCGCCCAGCTGGCGGCGGAATTTTCGAGGCGCGCCCCGGGCCAGGATGCGTGAGCTATCATCCTGGATCGCGACTGCGCACTCGGACACACGGCGAAGGAGCTGCCCCGGGCGCCGACGGGGCCAGCGCCGCCACCGCATGCGCCAGATCCTGCGCCCAAGGAGCATTGCGCATCGGTCCAGTTCAGGACAGCTAATTACGCGGGCGCATCCTCGACTGCTGCTCAGTGGCGCATCCGGCGCCTAGAGGTCGCCGCCCTGAACCTGCGCTGCGGCGCGCAGAGATGAAGTGACGCGCAGGACTCTCTGCAGACCGCCACTTGCGTCCCAGCAGCTCTGCGACAAGGTGGTCGCCGCGATCCTCGGCGTCGACGTTGCGATCGACGCGGGGCGCCGATGAAGTCCGCCAGCCCGGAGCTCTTCGCATCGCATTCCCACCCGCGGCGGCCCTTCGCGCGAGAGGGGGGTCGCTGCGGGATGGTCGGGATCTCCGGCGGCGCCGCCGCCGCCGCGGCGGCGCGATGCCCGCAGGAGGGCCCCGGAGACATCGGCGCAACCAAGGCTCCAACGCATGGTGGGCATCGCGCTGCTGTGGGCCATGGCGCCGCTGATCGTGGCGCGCCTGCGCGCAGGCTCGGCGGCCTTGTCGGAGCATCCGACCCCGGCCCACTGGCGCCAGCAGTTGGTCGCGTCGCGGGCGTGGGAGCCGCTGATTACCCTTCAGAACTGCCCGGCGGCCTCGACCGCCGACTTCGACAAGCGCGAGCAGCGCGGCCAGATCGGGCGCGCGCCAATGCGCGTCGCAGGCCTGAGGATGAACGGGCTCCACGCGCGTCTCACTGCTGCGCCGCGGCGCGGCAGCTGCCTTCGCGGGCGCGTGGGCGGGGCCCAGGCCCGCGCCGCTTCTGGGACATATTGGCCCGGGGGTAATTCCGCGCCTCGGCCGAAATGGTCGGCCCTCAGCCTTTCCAAGGCCCTCGCAGAGGCCATGATTATAACGGTTCCCGTCTTCTTGCCCAGGGGCCCGATACCGACGCCAACAGCGACGGCCTTGTCTGCGAGGGTAGGGCTGGACAGGTCCCGGCCCCCGACTTTTGCCGCCGCGCCTGGAGTTCTCGACCCGCTCCCGATCATCCTCGGTTCTGTCGGGCCGAAGTCCCAGATCCCCGTGGGGACCCTTCCGGGCGAGCCGACGGACGGGGCCCGGCCCCCACGCCCGAGTCCCCAGAGGACCCCGCCCAGGGGGGAGCTGCGCGCCCCGACCGTTGACCTCGAGTCCCGCTTCTTCTCCCCGACCCCTTCTCTTCCTCCGCTGTGCCCCGCCTTAGGTCCCTTTTAAACGACGCGAAGATCGGGACAATATCCGATCGGGATAATTCGAAATCTCTGAGAATCGGCGGGTTTGGAGGATGTATTGGGCGCCGCGGCCGCTCCAGGGCGTTCCGGAACGCTCTGAGAGCGCTCCGGAACGCTCTGGAGCGATTTATCCCGATCCGAGCCCTGTTTTGCCCCTCCTCCTCTGGCCGAGGCGCGGCGCGAGCGAAGCCGCGCGAACCGCCCCAAAACGATCCGACGGATCGAGGCACCATACACGAGCCCCGTGGGCGGCCTCGGGGCGGCTCGGTGCACGACTCCCCCCCAAAAGCTGCCTGGGTGAGGAGTGCGCCGTGGTGGGCCCCCCCAAAGAGACAGACCCGCGACCGCGGCGCTGGGGCGTGCCGGGGTCTGTGCAGCGGCATGCGCGACTGCGCTGGCTGAAGCCCGAACCCGCCGCACCTTTTCCCCCCTTTTCCTTTTTGCTCCTCCCCGGCGCCTGTCATTCTTCTTCCCTCCCTCCCCTCCCTTCTCTCCTTCCTGCTCTCCTCCCTGTGACCGCGGCGCCGATTGTGGCGCCGCGCCGCGGCTCCCCCGCGCCAGGAGGCGGCATGCAGCTGGGCGGTGGCCAAATGCCCCTCGGAGGATCCGTCCCCACGCTGCGACAAACGCCCCCTGTGGCGGGGACTCGCGCAGCGGCGGTTTTACCGGTGCATGGCGGGGAGCGGCGGCCACTCGGTGCCTGGTGCCGTCGCGGTTCTGTCGATGCCTGCCGTCGCAGTCTTCGACGCATGATGCAGGCGGATCTGGGATCACGTGTATAGCGTTAAGCCGCATTGACCTCCGGCGCCTTCGTGCCGACTGGAGGCTGGGATCCCGGAGCGTGGAACGGTGAGGAGGAGTAGGAGGAGGAAGAAGAGGAGGATGGAAAGGACAAATAAGCAGAGGGGGACGAGGAGGAAAAGGAGGAAAAGGAGGAACAGGAAGAGGAGGAGGATGATGAAGAGGAGTTCGAGGAGGAGGAGGAGGAGGAAGAGGAGGAGGAAAGGGAGGAGGAGGAGGAGAAGGTGGAGGAAGGGGAGGAGGAGGAGGAGGAGGAGGAGGAGGAGGAGGAGAGGAGGAGGAGGAGGAAAGGGAGAAGGAGAAGGAGGAGGAGGAGGAGGAGGAGAGGGAGGAAAAGGAAGAGGAGGAGGAGGAGGAGGAGGAGGAGGTTGAATTTGAGGGAGAGGAGGAGGAGGATGAGGAGGAGGAGGAGGAGGAGGAGGAGGAATACGTAGCACCCCGCAGATGAGGAAATAAGAGTGAGGGGGCGGTGGGGACGTCGGCAGTTTGCGAGACTCTGAGTTGCAAACGGGTCGCGGACGGGTCGCTATGGTCGCGGTTGGGTCGCGGGTGTAGAGGGCAGAATATCCACCCCATAAGAATCACCCCGACGAGCGAAGCCTTGTAGTAAACGCACGCAAGGAATGAAGCGAACAGGGCAGGGCTGTTTCGGCAACGCCCAGGGCCTTTTAGTAAGCGTCAATTGTCAGGTCCGGGTGGTTTTTCCTCCCTTGAGGGTGGGTCGCGGGGTGGGTCGCGGGTGGGTCGCGGGGTGGGTCGCGGGTGGGTCGCGGATGGGTCGCGGATGGGTCGCGGATGGGTCGCGGGGTGGGTCGCATTTTGATCGCGGGTGG